AATATTTAATAATAAAATCGGTTCATTTTTTTTGAATAACTTGGTTTATATAATATTTTTTTTTTTTTCCAATGTCTCTTCCAGCCCATTCAGGGCCCAGGCCCCTTATTCAATTCCGCAATTACTCTTCAGACGGTAAGCTGCTACCTATACACAGGACAACACAGACACAGAATATGCGCTGACATACACCAAACATCCATGCCTTGAGCGGGATCGAACCAACGATCCCGGCGCCAGAGCGAGCGAAAACAGTTCATACTTTAGACCGGGCGGCTACCGTGACTGGCATTCGCTGCTATAAAGTCTGAGCTATTAACAACATTGTTAACTGAAATACAATATGAATAGGCTAAATATTAAGGATTTCAGTACAGCCTAATAGCCTGCATTTGTGTCAACATAAAACCTGAATTAATAACGCATTCATTCATTAGTTTTATGACAATGGGAATATATAATCGTAGAATTATTACAATAACCGCCTCTGTGGTCTAGTGGTCGAAGTTTCTGGCTACAGATCCAGACGTCCCGGGTTCGATTCCCGGCGATACCACGTTTTCTGAGTAGTAGTGGGTCTGGAACGGTGTACACTAGCCTCGTGGGGATAATTGACGAGCTATTTCAAGGAAATAGCGGCTCCGCTCTAGAAAACTCAGATTAACGGCTGGGGGTATCCGTTGCGCTGACCCTCGTGACACCCTCTATCCGCTAAAGTTGGTACTAACTTCGCCGACAAGCGGCGGTCGGTATAGTTCGCTTGCGGATTACAGGCCACGGAGTTAGTTAGAATTGTTATAATACCAGTAAGTAAAGAGGTTTATTACTTCAATGCCGTTTAACGTAAGGAGACCATGGCAAAGAACGGGTGCTATGGCTGGTATAGAGCGAGCACTTTGTTTTACAGAGCTGGGATCGTTCCTGGGAGCGCCATGCCACCTCACCTGTGATCCTGAGCTGCCCCATGTGTTCTGTGACCAGATTACAGGGCACTGCGAGTGCGAGAAGAAGTATCCAGTCAAACTCGGGGCTAAGACTGGATGTGCCAAACGTGAGTACTGCCACACGCTTTAATAAAGTGCAGAAGAACTTTACAACATTTATAATTAATAATTCCGTCGTATGCATTAAGTAATTGAAAGGAGAAGAAAGCACAACAATTTCTTGTTGCAGTTGCAGTTAGTATTTTTAGGTATAACCTCAAAGACTTTCAATGTCACTATGTCTCTATTTGTAAATATGTACAAAATTGATATATAATTAGTAGATATTTATATAACTTCTAAGTATATAAAATTTTACTTTTCCAGCTCATATTTTTTATTAGTGATCATCATAGATGCCTGTAGTTATATATAGTTTTCGTTTGATCACCATTTTGTTGTGTTAAGTTAGAAATATATTTTCGGAAAAAGGTTCCATATTTTTTAATAACTGTTGCCAAACATGGACGTAACTGCTGCTAATGTTACTCCCACCTCAGAAGTTATGATTTCATCTCAAGTAAAAGTTGTGTCGAGAAAGAGAATTGCCCTAATATCCATATTGGTATCACTGGTACAGCAAATAAAAATCATGTTTTCTTGGTCTGTATTGGAAGCATGGCCGGGGAAAGCCTGAATGTTTTATTCTGAGAACAATTCTGTTTATACTGTTGCATGTCATGTTTAGATTACTGCCGATTAATATTTACGGTATTAACAAATGACCACCACAAATTAATTTTCGTTTAACAAAACATTAAAGAAAAAAAAACGTTTTAAAATATTTCATTCCCAAAATTTCGCCTTCTCACGAGACTGCTTGGTTCGTCGCTTATGTCGTTGCGCCGACCCCATTCGCATATTGTCCGAACTATGTTCTACGAGGGCCAGTCGTGGGGTGTGTGAACTTAGGTTTGTGAAATTTTTGTCATATCCCATCATTTATTTACTCTTTCGTGCTGACGGGAACTTTATTCAATATTCTTGTCATTCTTCCATTCGTTCGTGCATTTTCTACCTTGATGTATGATTTATTTATTTACAGCTGTGCGGCTGGGCGACCAGTGTTTCTACAGGCAGACATGTGAATTTACTGACCAGCATGCTACCTGTATACAAGTCAACCACAACGCCATCTGTCAATGCGAACCAGGTTATCATACAGTGGCGCTTCAGAGACCCACCAAGAAGGTGTTCTGTTCTGCAGGTACAGATCTTGTACGCTTACTGTTATGGATAAATTACATGACGAGGAGCTTCGTATTTTAAATTCTATACAAAATATTAGGACTACTAGATTAAGAGAATGGAATGGGCCGGGAATTTAGTACATGTGACAGATATACGAAATGCGATGAAAACAAAAGAAGGAAATAGACCACTCATGAAGTGTAGCTGTGGGCGAAAGGAAAGTTAAGATAGATCTCAAGAAACTACGCGTGAGGATTTGGACTGGATTCAGTTGTCTCAACATAGGGTCCAGTAGCAGGTTCTTATGAACATGATGGTGAAACTTCGGGGTTAATAATTAGCAGAGAATTTCGTGACCGGTTGAACTATCGGATTATGAAGAAGAATATGGTTAATTTGTTTGTTGGTTTGTTAGTCAGATTCTTAGTTGGTTAGTTATTTAGCCATATTGAACAAGGAGCATGAAGAATGTGAAGAATATGTGGATCTATACATCCACTTCGTCATACGTCTTAATGGCATGCTGCTTAATTATTTAAGCATATTGACAGCTTTTCCTTACCGTCATTTCCACAGTATCATAACTTTGTCACCGATTTTCGTTCCGTGTTATGTCTGCATATTCAATTAACATACTATTTGCTTCCATACTAATTTGTAAGAGTCTTATTTTTTGCATTATTTATATTCTTCCACAATAAATTATCGTCAGCATAACAAAGACACAGTAATTATATTTAAATTATCCGTACACTACAACAATAGTAATAAATAATTTGTGTATATGTCTGTATTTATATATGTCCAGACATTATGAATGTCTAAATAAATGAGAACTGTACTACAGAATGGATATCTGTAAAATCACTCAGATATTTAAAATGGCTGTTATGACATATGTGTCATTGTAATTGAATCACACGAAGTTTTATTCTATTGAGATTATATTTAAGGGAACCATAAGTCTTCTTATTTATCTACGGTTATATCAAAGTCTGATTTCACAAAAATATATCATTACCCATGGTTCAGGATCCTTTTTTTTTATTATTGCTAGTGAGGTGGGACTAAGTCCCTTGTACTGCGGCCACTTCTGGCCTATTGTACCAGCCCCAGATGATAGGTGGGGGTGATTGTGGAGCTATTGGTGGAATGAAGATTGGCAGGGGAAACTGAAGTACTCGGAGAAAACCTGCCCCAGCGCCACTTTGTCCACCACAAATCCCACTTAACCAGACCCCGGGATCGAAGCCGGGCCGCCGCGGTGGGAAGCCAGCAACTAACCGCTTGAGCCATGGCGCGGCCCCATGGTTCAGGAACTTTAATTTTCTTGCTTTCTAAATGATTTAACACTTACTTTCAGACTTGGTGATTCTGACTACGGATGTTCCAACACTGTTCGGTGTTGCTACTGGATTGGCCATTTTCACGGCCCTCATTTGTTTCGTATTGAAACTCTTCAGCAGAGCCCGTTACTCGAGACCACGGCACTATGCAAACGCGAACCTTGCTCCTCCAATCCTCTTCTCCAGCGAGACAGGTCAGTGCAGCCTTCTGCCTCACAATACATTGTGTGCTGAGAGAGATTTGTTCTCATCAACCAGCGGAATCCGTAAAATTTGCTGGACATGGTCCAACGCCACGAAACTAATTTGTGTATTCCAGACACTGAATTCATGGACAGCACATATTTGTCTGATATATTTCCTCTGCCATATTATCGTACTATTATTTGTTAAAAGAATATTTGCTTAATATAGTGGAATGAATACATAGTCCATTTATACTAAAAATTATCAGGGGAAGCTATGGTTACTTCTGAGTTCCTGAATACATTATCAGAAAATCCACGTATGGTGGACAGTGAGCTACAGGCGCTGTTATAATAATGCTGATAAAATATAAAATTAAATTAATTAACCCACAAATATTTCCTCGTAACTGACCATCAAAATATCATACATATGAATGAGTAACTTCTTTTTGAAATTTAAAGTAATTTCCAATGGCATTTTCTTAATTGTGGTTCATTATTACATATAAGGGATACACAACCAAATTATGTTGCTGATTGTTATTCACGTATATTTTAAACAAGTTAAGAACTGATTAATCAAAAACATAATAATTTTAAAATATTTAATTAGTAATAGAATATTTGACTTAATTATATACTATTCAGCAATCTAAGGCCATGCTAGAACTAAAGTAAAAGAGTGTTTCAATTTGTTTCTTTCAATAATTAATTGATAAATGCGGAATATTTGTATTTTAACCTTTTTGTTAAGTTAAAATGAAGGATTTACACTGCAATGATCATAATAATTCACCTAAAATTTCTGTTAGCATCCATATAAAGTGCTCTTTCTTCTTTTTTTCACACACAAAAACTTTACCACGGTGCTGGGATATCATTTTGACAGTTGAGGCTATTAAGTGTACTCAAGAGTCCAATGTAGGAAACAGGAAATAGAAGAAATAGAACAATTACAATTTTACATATACGAATATTTAATACTTTTCAGTATTAATATATTTTAATCTGTTCCAATATATACTCTGATAAATTGGAAGCATATTTCTTCATGCCGTTTTAATATACTCGTACAGTCTCATGAAATATCGAATTGTTTTGGAACATAGTACACGTATATAGTACACAAGCTAGTGGTTTCATAATATTATGCTACAGCATCCTGTTGCACTGTATGTCCCAATTTTTTTGTAATTAGCTTAGTGGGGGTGGAGTCCAACTGGGTCCACTCGGCCTATTGTACCAGCACCAGACGATAGGTGAGGGTGATTGTGGAGCAATTGGTGGAATGAAGATTGGCAGGGGAAACCGAAGTACTCGGAGAAAACCCGCCCCAGCGCCACTTTGTCCACCACAAATCCCACTTGACCAGACCCGGGATCGAACCAGGGCCGTCGCGGTGGGAAGCCAGCGACTAACCGCTTGAGCTATGGCGCGGCCACTGTATATCCTAACTTCGCGTCCTCACTTTTCGCCATATTTGTGCAACTTCTTCGACATATTGATATTTACACTTCGACGTCTTCATCTGTCCTCTTTACACAACACTTTCGTCTTAACTGGCCATTATCAGGAATATAGGATTTTGGATTAGAGGAACATTCTGGTCAATTAATACGATGTTCTGTTTTTCTTTCTGATGTAAAATGTTTAAAAAATATTTTAAGTGAATTTAGATTATCATATTGTTGTATGCACATGCCTGGTTTATGTTTTGTTGATGTGTTGGTGCCGTGTAGCAAAAACGGCATGATAATTGAAAAAAGCCTAAAATAAAATACTTTAGAAGCATTTTACAACAAATTAAAAAATAGGACATCGCGATAACAGAGCAACATGTTCCTTCAATGCGACTTCTTACACACCTGATGATGACCAGTTAGGGCGAAACATGTAGTCTTGTATAATGCGAAGAGATGAAGGTTTTGAAGTCTGAATATTAATATATTGATAAAGTTGCGCAAAGACGGAAAGAAGGGAGAACGCTTTTCAGTTGCATAAGAAAGTACCTTGATTATGTAAAACCGTGGTTCTCAACCTTTGTCAGACCTCGGCCTGTTAATTTTTTTTCTATGAGACGAGGGCCCGGTATAATTGATGTCAGGGGCCGGTACCGGGCCATGGCCCGGCCGCTCAGAAACAATGATGTAAAATATACTAATATTAACCTGTCCACATCTGTGTATCACTTCGTGATCGTAGTTGACTGTTCACAGAATTAACAAAAGAGCATATGAAATCAGAAGCTTGCATCAAGGACACATTGTCTCTGTCATTGTGTATGTCAGCTATTGTGTGTATTGTCGCGTGTCTATGGTTACGCACATACTACGTGGCAATATTTTGCATTACAGCGCTTCTCAATGCAATATTAACAAGAGCAATGAAACTCCTTGTACAGTGTAGACGTAACGCAGAAACGTAACATAGAAAAGTTAGGAATCTAAATTCAACTTAATATTTAAATTACAGTGAATATATGCATTCCTTGTACAATGAATGCAACTGTAAAATATGGCCCTACCACCAGGTCACACATGAGTTGAAATTGTTACTAGAAACGGAACCATGCCATCTTCAAATTATTTTTAAATTCCTTCAAAAACATTAATATGAGTATTAAGTAAAAATTGACTCTGTACTTGACTACTTAAGCACAACGCCATGAAAATTTGTGGGAGAATGGAGGAATAGGTCCATGTCTTCTTAATTTCGGCAGTAGATAAAGTGAGTGGTCAACTTCACGCCCCAGGCACTTTACCGCCGGAGAAAGAGAACCCGGTGCCCATCGAATAGAAGTTTTGGTTTGGTTTGGACGCCGTGTAGAAGAGAAGAATCTCCTTGATATTATCGGGAATCATAATCCCAGTTCCACGGTCATTCAGCCAATAGATCATCGCTACACCGACTGAGTTTAAGTCAGAGTAATTACTAGGGACCGGATTTTTATGCCCTAATACTCCCTTAAATATGTATGCATTTATGCATGAAAAACTCCCGAAATATGCACTAAAATATGCACATAAAAATTTATACCAAATATTAAAATTGATTTTACATTATTTTAAGGCCAAAAAATCAATATTTAAGTTCATTTTATGTAATCACTGAATGATTCGCTTGCAATAAAAAGCTATACTTAAATACAAATCATGCAACAAAGCCAACATATTTCATTACAAATTTAAAAAACCAATGGTACTCAATGTTACGCCGTGGTGGCAGGGGGCGTGGAGGTATCCCACCGCTGCCACCAATGTTACGTCGTGGGGGCGTGGAGGTAATCCCCACTGCTTCCACCACTGTTACACTCTTACGTCCTTACGACAGGGGTGGATGGGTTATCTCACCGCTGTCTTCACTGTTATGCCGCCGCTACACCTCTATTATGCCGTGGTGACAGGGGGCGTGGAAGTATCCCGCTCTGTCACCCGGTTTAGTATGCTGCCACCATCTTGTTATTTCAAGAAATCTAGTAAACTTATCATAGCTTGCGTCACTGTCCTGGCTTAACTCGTAATTCGCAGGAGCGTTGGGAGGTCCTGGAGTCGTCAAGGAAGAGGGTAACACTTAAGGAACTGTTGGGTTGAATTAAACGNCAACCAGCGCACACTCACGGCCATCGCTCTCTCGGCGATAGCCTCCCCTGAACTCTAAGTTACTTAATATTAATCAAAAGTCTAAAGGCAAAAGGGTTTTTGATTAAGTCTTCTAGGGTTTATATAACCTCTCTTTGCTGATTCTTCGAGTTCCGGGTATGTTGGCCTGCCCATTCTGACGTGATTTAGGCCCTCCTCATTGGTTGCGCATCGAGAAGGGGTTGACTCTTTCGGGTCTACCGCCTCCTCCGACTCAGCGTTTTCCTCCTGCCATAGTGTTTATGACCCACTTCATATAGCTCCTTCCTCAATGTCAGCGCTATTACACTGCCGGGTTAGCATTCTAATGACTCAGGCATTCCCTGTTACAATTCTTTGTAGACCTAAGCTTCCTGAATTGTTTCATCATGGCTGTTTCTTAATCTTACAGTCTAGCTACTATTATTCCAATTTTACCCCCAAAACTATATCTACAAGTACGTGACCTTTGCGCCATTACACTCACATTTAGCTTTCCGAGCTTTCAACTTCTCTTCTGTTGCAGTTCACAATTACTAAATGGTTTAGGTTTTCCATACTTGGTCGCCTCCTATTAGCTCGTAAGATGTCCTTTTAGCGGGAAAAACTTCTTTCGACCTCACAGGAACTTAGGGGCGCATGTACAAAAGCCGCTATTTGCTCCACTGTTAGTGATTTTTTACTTGGCAGTTCAGTGCGTTTAACGGCTAAAATTTCTTCAATTTCACAAATTTGTTCATTTTTTTAAAGAATGCTGTGTACTTTTTCCTTTACTACTTCACCAACTCTTCCAGGAACCGAATTCAATTTGGAAACAGTGGTTTTGAACACACTTAACGACTGATACAAAGTAGTATTGCTATTGCTTGCCTCCAGTGAGGAAATGGCGGATGGAAGATGAAAGAAGTGAGCAGTTATATACTCGTAGGAAAGATTAGTGTATAGTTCTGCGCCTTTTAGTACACCTTGGGCAATTTGAATTGATGCTGCACTTTTGGGATCAAATGTATTCACGACATTCCTAACTGTTTCTAAATGTTCAGTATAATAACTCGCTGCTCATAGCCACGTGCCCCAACGGTGCTACTGCTTTAAAGGCTTCTTTTCTTTATGACGCTTTAACAAATACCTTCTTCACAGAAGACACCAACTTGTCAGCAAGCGGAAAATTTGCACGAATTGTTTCTGCAACACGGTGCAACCCATGGGCAAGGCAAGTCAAATGTGTCATATTTGGATATATAACTTTAAGAGCAGTACCGGCTTTCATCATATAACTTGCGGCATCAGTCACAAAGAGCAATGCACGCTCATACTGAATGCCATTTGGCCATAGTAAATTCATGGAATTGATGAAAAATTCGGAAACTGCGGAGCTATTTGTGGTTTCAAATTGCTCTACCGCAAGAAGATATAGGGTAGATTGTTCATTCTTATTAAGGGATCCAACTATACAATTTGCAATAAACCATCCCTCACAATCTTGTGTTTCGTCGATTGATACCCACACAAAATTATCTTGAATCTTATCTCTAATGCTTTCAATTGTAAGATCGTAACACTGCTTCACGTAATTTTTGCGCACAGTAGATTCATCCGGCACTTTGTACTGTGTATACTTCTTTATGAAGTTTCTCAGAGTAGATTTGTTAGTTTCCACAGCGGAATATCTGCCGCTAAAAAGGCTTCGCATAAATCAAGGGAAAACGGTGAAAAACTATTATTAGAAAATTCACTAAGCAATTTTTGAACAGGAGCACTTTTCGTAGATTTAATTTTAATATTTTCTTTGTGTATATTAGTGTTCAAATGTTGAAGCACTTGAAAGCGTTTTTCACAACCAAATGTTTTCTCACGCGCTCGGCAATAAAGAATTTCGTTATCCGCACTTATCATCTTTCTTTCGAACTTCCGCTGATACAGCTGTAATTTAGTTTTCTGACTTACTTTCGCTTTCGGCATGACTACAGAAAGCTAAACAAACTTAACCACAGACTAGCCACCACTAATGTGAATGGCCCCCAGCTTCAAATGAAGAAGCGTAAGGAACCTCATGGAGACTTCGGAAATAAATAAGTGAAGTCTCTTATCGGGCGAATAGTATTACGTTGATAGCGGCTACATGTGGACGCTTCCGACTAATCTCTTCGCGGCCACTTTGATGGTACGCGGATGAGTCAAGTCCTGGGTACTACATCAGAAACATGAATCATGATGAAATGTTGAGTCAAATATGTAACATATTCTAATACGGAAAACAAAAAAAAAATTTGTATACACACGACCATGCTTGAAAATTTGAACATAAAATTTAAAAAAATATATATATGATAAACATTTTAAAAAGGAAATGTGCAGTATGAATAGAGATCTTTGAAAATATGATGCTGATTCATAAAACAGGAAAAATGTGCATTTATATGCACCATCAAACCATGTCCAAAATTTAAGAAATGAAGTAATTCATACATATATCCAAACGAGCATACTCTCTGGTTGCAAGAAAGAAATATGCATTTGCATTAAAATCCGGTCCCTAGTAATTACTTACATTGACACTCCCGTATAATTAATATACCTAATGATGAATTTACTTTACCAAAGTTGAAATTTACTTGATTCTAAACGGTTCTGTTGATAGTGTATTATACTATTATTAGTTTTCTAGATTTTTCCCATAGCTCGTTTCGAAAACAGAATTTTTGGGAAACTGGATTTTCCCCAGACTGAAGTGAACGGACATAACTCAGTTGGGTCCGTTCGAAAGAGTTAAACCTAATCACTGGACAACGTTGACTTTAAATTTATTGTCTTGTAGTTACCCTTTAAACTTACTTAAAATACTAAGGTAATTGTCATATTGTCAACACAGTGAGGTACAAGAGTGTTATAGAGTGCAAAACATTCACAAATATCCGAACGTTGTAGGCATAATAATAATAATTTATATCATATATTAATGTGTTGCGTTTTGTACACAATAATTGTATTGTTGTTTTTTGTTTTACATGTCTCCCTGTACCTCTTTAACCGTAGAGTTTCAGAACTTGTGTAAGTGGTCTTCCTTTGCTAGTATTAATTATTTCAGTCTTTCTGTAATTTAATTACAACACCATTATGGAAAATAATTTATATTATTAAATCATAAGCTTGAAAATATTATTATTTAGTGTGTTAATTTGTCACCATTCTTTTGAATGATCAGTAGCACTTTGAGAGACACTTTTATGAAGCAGAACCCACGCAAATGCATGAATATACTCTATATGCATGCATCCACACACTCATATAACCAATTAAAATATACATACTAACATTACATAAGGAAGAGAACTAGTGTAGCCACTGCACTGATGACGTGTACCTTCCTTACACTTCTATAGTTATTAGCCTCATATTTATGCGTTGTTTATGGAACAAAGGGAATAGGATAATGAGCAGGTGCTGTAGTAGCTCCATATTATCTTAGAAAAATTATAATTAATGATTAGTAGTGTCACTTTTGCTGATACATTACAATGTATATGTATTTATGAAGTTCCAGTTAACAAGTAAAACAAAAATTACATTGCCTGTTTAGTTTGCTGAGTCCAGAGCTGCCAGTGTACTTAAAATACTAAATCTGGAATTTCAGTTCATCATTAAATACGTAACAAATGTAGCAAATGCTTTAGGCAGAATTCTCATGCAATAGATCGTTTATAGTAATTTAGTTAAAAGCATCTTTGTGAACGTCTCCATATAAGGAGCGTACAGTTTATCTAAGAAGATCGTTGGATGACGGTTTCTGAAACCACCTACAGCATCGAATTCTTGCTTTGCAAGTTGAGGGCAAAGTGCTATGTTCTACTGTTGTTTTTTAAAGCCACATTGCCCGCCCCCAATGCACGTAGAGCCAGAAGACATGTCTTCTTCGGGCTTGCTTCTAATTTTTTTTAATTCGCTTAGTGGGGGGTGAAGTACAACTGGGTCCACTCGGCACGGCGGCCACTGATTGGCCTATTGTAGCCTGCCCAGGGTGATTATGATAATGGATAATTTGGTACAATGAAGATTGGCAGGAGAAACCAAAGCATTCGGAGAAAACCTGCCCCAGCGCCACTTTGTCCACCGCAAATCCCACTTGACCAGACCCGGGATCGAACCCGGGCCGCCGCGGTGGGAAGCCAGCGACTAACCGCTTGAGCTATGGCGCGGCCCTGCTTCTACTTTAGTACTGACATCAACAAGTTTTTCTTCAGTCAGTAAACATCTCTTTCTTGGTATTTTTGTCTCGTACCGATCTCGCATGCAAGTAACGCAATTTTCTTACGACATTGAAAATCGTCGCTTTGCACGGCATTTTACTGTCGAGATACGTCATACAAAATTCTCTATGTCATTTTCTCCTTTAAGCACGCTGTACAAAGTTATAGTATATGAGTTATTTCTGTTCAATGCTATGATTTACGAGTATTTTGTATGCTATATTTTACAAATTCGAAATTAGTTTTTACATACGTTAAGGACAACCAAAAGCTAAACTTTGTCGCTTTCGAAATTTTCCAGCAAGCGACGGTTCGGCGGCCAGCGATGGACATGCGTAGGTGAATATGTTTATAGCCGGGCGGTGCAAGGGTAAATTGCATAGGAGGACGTATTAACTTATTTAACAAATATTATGGCAGATATTCAGGTGAATAATGATTATAATACAAAATAAATTTTGGCCTAATATTGATCGATTCGATTAACTACTCGCTACTTACTATAGAGAAAAATACTTTAGCAAAGAGACAAGAACATAAGGAACAATTCTTTAATGACAAATAGGATACGAATACTCAAATTGATCTTAGCAGAAATATATTCGAAACTTCAAAATATGCGTTTGAGTTGAAAAATAAATAATGAGAAATAATATTTCAAAAGTTTTGACAATAGCTAATTTCCAGTTAATAAATAATAATAATTATTATAAATAGTACTAATTGCTATAATAAGAACTGCACGTGAACTTTTTCGAATCAAAACTTTCTAAGATTTGTTGAGCTCATGGAAGTGACCTTGCAGGCAAACCACGCAGCCTCAAAAGTCTCATTAAACTTCATACTTTTGAGTATCGGGTGTTTTAAGGTCATTTTTTCGGTCTTGCTTGGTGTCTCTTTTTACTCAGAGCACTTTAATGGAAGATCATTCGTAACAACATGTGAGATGCACGAATTTTGAGGCTGGGAGCAGCACTAAAGACACTTGATACAGAAGCCTGAAATAATGTATAGCAATAGATGCTAGAAAAATGTGCACGTTTTGTTAAGATAATTATTCTGTAGAATGTAAAACAACAACATGGCGTCTATACAGAAATTTTCTTTGGCTTTTACCAAATAGGTTGGTCTAGTCGTAACGCTGTAGACTTGTATTTATAAGGTGTTCGGTTCAAATCTTGGCCGGGAAACCGGCTAGGCTTGCAGAGGTTTTTCGTGGTTTTCCAAGTCTCTCCAGGCAAATGTCGAGATAGTATCTAGATTAGGCCACTACTGTTGCCTTTCAAAGCCTTTCCAATTCATTAGTCACCCCACTATTCCAAGACATACCGAGTAGATACTGACAGTAACGCAAAGTAAACAACAAACCACACGAAGCTTCTTGGGCTTTCGATTTGGTGACGATAGTCAATGAACAATTGGAGAGGTACTCGCCTTTTCCCCTCTTATAGGTCTTTCCAATGCTGTCCCAGTAACAACTGTCCCCATCCCTTCGAGAATCACCCGTCGTATTGGCCCCATAACAATCCTAACTCCTGCCATGTCTTCTCCTTCGTCATGCATTATTCTTCCTGTGTGGCTTACTCTTCTACTCTGAAGATAGAGTCGGAGGTTCCTTCGAAACGATAGTGCCTATTTACCAAGCTACACGGTTCCTCACTTCAGAAGACAGTAGCCTTCACAGTCACTTGATATTCGGTTTAAGATCATAAACATACCTGTAAGTGTTGGATTTTAGATTCTCACAATGACTATGGCAAGTAGGCCTACTCTTTTCTGGGTTTTAATACCGTGTAACTATTCTCTGCTGTTCGGAGGAACATATCGCCTCCATCTTCAGTGCTGAAAAGTAAACCAGGCAGGAGGCAAACTGCTCCCCTGAAATGTCGGTCTCTCTTCAAACTTCACGGCGTCACAGCCCAGAAGATAGTACGAATTACAATGACCGCGGTGCAAACCTAAAATCCGACATAATATGAATTTCGTTGTTATCAGAAACAGAAAATTTCTAGTAGGATATTAATTGAAACGTACCTACGCTTCACTTATGTATGGTATACAGTTAGTCATAACTTATTCATACGTGTATAGAAATTCAATACTCCCTTCCCTTCCTACATAAAAATTTGAAAGCCCTGGTTCAGTAAATATTCATGGCATTCCCATCTTTTTCATTCTGGAATTATATTCTGATATAAGTCTTCCAAACTTCATGGTTAATATAACAAAATTCAAGTAAAGCAAGCCAAGAAAAATAGCCTCCATGTTGCTTGTTAAACTGCACTATAACGAAAATTCGATCCACAATTGAATATTGATCTTTAACCCGCCTGCTGTGAGGAGGACACGATGCTTTACAGGGATTCCTTTGGCAGTCCAAGGAGGACGTCCCTCATCTCGGGCGTCCAGTCAGCGTAGTGTCGGGACGATAGCTTCAGGTTTCTCACGACGCCCAAGCAGCGGGGGGAGCCGAGGGGTGCTGGTCCCTGCTTCGAGAGCAGGTGCGGCACGCGCCGCCGCCATCTTGCTAATTTCGTGCCATCTCACAACGGCCACGGCCACAGCGGTGTCTGAACAAACTAGCACTGACGACAACAGTCAGCCAGACCCAGAGCAGCAACAGCAGCAGCGTACCGGTAAACTTACTGCGAGCGTTGATGCGTTCCTCCGAATTCACCTCAGTTTGTGGTATTACGGAATCGGGCAGATGACGGGGTTCTTTCCTGACAATGCTCCGAGATTTATGGCTTATTATGTTTGTATATCTGTATTTAACATTTTCAACTAATTGTATGTCCAATTCATACAATGAAAATTACGGAGCTCACCATTGGTGTAGTCTCAGCAAGCGGAAGTCGTTCATAAAGCGCGAAGTGACGGAATTTCATTTGATGACTGTACCACGTAAGTTACCAACTGTCAAAAGTTTCGTAATAAAGTGAACATTAAAAATTTTGTACATAATATTTGCGTAAATCCTGTGTTGTACAGATAGCCCCATACATCAGTAGCTGAAGTGTACATTTTCATTATTCTTTTCCTTTTCCTTAATCCAACTGTGCTAATTAACTAAAAGCCAGATATAATATCTGAAATAGTTTTGGATGAAATCCTGCTGCAACTTGTATCAAAATATAGATGCGTGGTGGTAAATTGTCATCAATTTTGTTTATCCCTGCTATACATAATAAACGTGTTTTCCTTCCCAATTCTCTCCCTGTGAAAATTGAAAATTTATATTTTCCCCCTCCATAATAGTTGTTTGAGCAGCTGATCGTGAGAGCATGTGCACAGTTGGACAGTTCCACAGGACCACTGGTCCCAAGCACAGCACTCAACCTAGTAAAGCCAGACCTACAAGAAAAAGAAAAATAACAAGAAAAACGGCCCATAACACAATACAATGAACACCGAACCATCACACACTCACAGATAAGAACAGAAAAGAAACAGCACGAGCATGAGATCACGCAGAGGAAGAAGGACCCAAAACCCACAATGATCAACAAGACACAAATAAATACTACATTATTCAACATCCATAAACCACGTAGGCAAAAATGCTGTGAGCTTAATTAGTTAGACACTATGCCATGAAGACAAGTGGGGGAGTGGAAGTATATCTCCACCTTTCTTGACCTTGACACTAGATGGAAGTGAGCAGTCAGCTTCACGACCCTTCCAGCTTTAGCCCAGCGGAAAGGGCTCCCATTCGTCCTTGGATAGGAGGCTGGATGGGCCCCATATTCCATCTGGGTGCTATGGAACCATAAACCACACAGAAATAAAAATATGAGACCCCTCCCCCCCCAATTTGACATCCTACGATTAACATTTTTAAATTTCAATTACATTATCTTTAACAAAAAGACTGCACAGGATATTTTATTAGTAAACAATAACTAGAAAATTATGACCAAATAATGAATTGCTCAATGTAAGGAAGAACAGCAGATGTGCTGTTACTGTCACTTATAAATATACACCCTTCCTATAGCATTCTCACCAAGCCCTGTGTTGTACTTCATGTACCCTATTTTAATCTCTTTAACAACTGAATGAAAACTGCTATACTTTATATTTTATCACTTAGTACAAGAATTTATTGCAACATTTCTCATTGCAAATTGAACCATTAACTTTGCAATTCATAATAATATATTTTATTTATTTATTTATTTACAAACCACCTGATGATGATCCATACAGCTGAAAAACTGTAGTGGTTGAATGGGACCATCATATTCATTAAACTATCAATATTCTACTGATTTATATTTCTTGCTTGAATTTTTTTTTTCATTGCTGTGTCAACAGCTCTCTTGTTTCAAATTAATTATGGAGCCTTCTAAGTCAATATGAGATCAGCAGTGTGCTTATTATGTGAGAACAGTGATTGAATTTAAAGGAATAATTTTCAGCAATAAGCTGTGAAGAGGCATGAAGAGTTTTCTTCCTAAGCAGGCATGTAAAGTGTAAGAATCTCTTGCACAGAAAATAATACCAAGCAGTGAGCAGCCAACAAGAGGAAATAAAATGGCACATAAGTGCATATCTCTCTGACCTACCATTCAGTACAAATCAATTGTATAAACAAATTTTTATCACCATCCTCATTTATTAGAGGCACTCAATATTACTAATGTTTTAGTCAACATAAAGTGAACACCTTATGTCTCCAGTTTTGAAGTATTCTCCATATTACTCACATCTGCATACTTTGTACTGACTTCAGCTACTGCATGTATATTAATATAAAATATCAAAGATATGTATTTTAAGATCAGTCAGTGGATACAATTGGCTAATAATTATTTAGATAGATTAAATATAAATTTATGTTACCACATTTCCAAGTAAATATTCCAAATTGTTTAGGCAGAATATGAATAAGAAACCAACGATGATTCCCCACTGTAGTTTGGAAGAATAACTGTTTATTCATAAGTAGATATACTTATAACTATGCCATTATATTACGTGGAAGAAATTATGAATTGAAAGTGTATAGGATATTATAAAAGATAACTATTTATTACCCTTAATATTCTACCACAATTTGTCAGTTTCTCTGTACTGCTTAACATGCTGTATATAGGAGAATGTTGAACAACCATAACAGTAAGAGAAGTATTTAACAAGATAAAAATGACAGAACTGCATAAATATTTATAAGTGTAAAAATTACTTTTACACTCCACATTTCTTTAATGAGAAACAAAATTTTATGTATAGAGACTGGCATGCAAGTCAGGAAAGTCAAAACACAGTATTATTACTGTAGAATAAAGGGCCTATGTAATATCCATCTTTTATATTTTAAAATTTATTTGTTTCATTTGAAAACAATGTTAATATAATTCTGCATAACAAACTCTTACACACATTCATGTTCACGTTATCATAACTCTATCTGTTCTTTAATTGTGTACCATTTTTCTCTCTTTTGTTCCACACTACCTTGCAATCATTCTTGGTATAACAAGTTCTTCAGCTCCTCCCTTCCACTTCTGCATGAAAATTCAAACTTAGCACATTATGATGAAAATTATCTTCATTAGTTAACTTTCAAGGCAAATTCTACTTTTGAATAGTACATAAATTAAAATACTAAAATATGTCATCTTATAACCCTAGATGAAATGCACATCATGATTCCTATTGCATTAGAGGTACATGCAAATACAAACTCAGAAAGGACACAGTATTTATGCAAAATATACATATGTGCAAATTTTCCTAAATTTGCTGTCTATAATCAAATTAAGAACATAAATATGAAATGAATGCAGGAAGTAAGCACAGTATAATCGAAAAATGGTTGACATTATTGAACACACTGAAATCATCAGATATAGGGGCCAGAAATGAATCATAAATCACTTGAAACATCCAAATAGAGAAAATACATCGTTATAAGGAAACATTTATTAGAATATAATAAAATTTTAAGTAACAGCATAACAGCTCTATGCAGAAAAAATATTCTTAATATTACTCCGGTATTTTAATCTCTTTCAAAACTTACTGTCTATAGTCTGCTAAGAAGTGAGGAAGAGGAAGCTGCTAATCAGTGGAAAATCTTACTTTTTATATCACATACTTGTTTCGGCAATAAAAGAATCATACTTTTATGACGTTTCATTTTCACAATTACATGACCTAATAAAATTTAACAGAATTTTATATTTAAAAAATTTCAAAATGTAAAATTTTCATTAGTTCTTGACTAATAACTACAGAATTACTGATGCAACTACACTAGCCTTTTTACTTCTATAAGAATATGATGACATTTAGACACTGGATTAATTAATGCCGTGGCTCTTGATTACGACACAGTAAACTGAAATTACAATTTTGTACATTAATTATATTTCTTATCCTACTAAGGCAAATGTGCTCGTGGCAATTCTGTGTCATGATTAAAAATGAAAGCAAGATGGCAGTGGTGACATTTAAGTGTTTTAATGGTTTTTGCTATAATGGAACTTGTACAACATGATGACACTGAATGCTGTGTATAGCATTTGTCTGTCAATCACATATTATTATTAGACACATGCACACACACGTACGCATGCACACACACACACACTAATCAGATACAAAATCGTTACACAGAATTTGATAACATTAATTAATTTCAGGAATTAAGCAAAAAGTGAGTAATTAAATTATTGCTATTTAAACCATATTATGACTTTGTTCATTTTATTTTGTTATACATAGAATGATTTATTTACATTTATGTAGAGTAACATCACTAGAATAATTGTCTTAAGTTATAAAATGACCTAGTATAAGCATTCTTAACAACATGTGCATGTGTCATCTTTAATTTATCTAGTTAGGCCTATTTACAGAGTTTTACAAACTTTACTTTTTTGTTACATTTTATTGCATTAATTTGTAATTTCATGTAGATGGCTGGGACAATTGTAGATGTGTAGAAATGTTCTAGAAACATTATATTTACTTCACATTGTTCCTATGGGTGGTAGGATTACAAAATGCTTGATACATAGGATTGAAGCATCTGATACACTCACATTTTAATGAATAAAAGAGAAGTAATTATTTATATACACACACGATTAATAATCTCAGTTTTGAAGAAAATACTTTTCATCACTGCTCTCTTGCTGCTTGTATTATTTCTCAATGTGCATATGATTTCTATTGTGTAAATGTGTGCATAAATTGCATGAGTGTTAATAGTTGTAAACAGCATGATGGTTCCAGTTTATGAGCTTTAAATTTTAACATGTATGATTACGCACTTGTGTCAGAAGTTTCTCTTTCATGAAACAGATGCATTTATTTCTTTTAATTAATGGTTGTCCGTGTAAAGTCTACATACTGCAGTTATTCAAGACTAATTAAAAACGAGTCCAAATGCCAGCTGTAATTTAATGCTAACAGACATCAGTTTAATATAAAGTAGAAATATATTTGTTAATGTGGAAATTACATTCCCTTCGGTATAGCAATTTACACTTGAAAACCTGGTAGAATGTTACATAAAGTAAATATTTTATATCATAATTATCATATTCATACTGGACATCGAAAAACTGAAAATTTAAATTCTTAGTTTTGTTATTAGTTGGATTATGACCTGTTGAACGTACAG